TTTTGCTGAACATGTTATATTTTAGTTTTGCCACAAGATGGAGCCACATCAGCAGTTTGTGAAACCGTCACTGTGGTGACAGAACCACGTAGAAAACATGGAGCGTAACATGTATGTACAATTACAGCATGATAATAATATGCAGATCACACGCTCTGCAGCATCAAACCTTTATTAGACTTTAATTCAGTCAAATTCAGAAAAATCAGATCCGTCCGTTCAGAGCGGAACCAATCAGAAAAAAATATTGATCATTGATTATTTGTGTTGAGGCAAACAGACGTGAAAAGTCTGTTTTTCTATCACGTCCAGTGAACTGATCATCTCGGTTACCATGGAAACGGAGTCAAATAATTCCGATTAATTAACAAGCAACTAATCAATCAAGTATTCATTGATGATGTAATCATTCAACAAACCTATTGATTAGTCTGTCGATCACCTTCAAGTTGTCAAGAGAAATAAACTTTGACTCAGACTATCCACAAATAATAAAACAATGTCTGATCGATTGAATTATTGATCGTTTTCGTTTCTGTTCGACATGTGAAGTTTTATTTTGAAACCTGTGAAGGAGGTCAGGGGATTTTATTTTCAGAGCTTCAGTTTGTGTGTCTGCGTTTCCATTTACATCATGAAGAAAAAGACGGAACGATAAAAAGATCAAACTCAAAGCACAGATCTTCATCATCTCCCTCTTTGTTCATCTCAACTACTGATCGATATAAACTTTATTTAAACAGAACAATCTCTCATCACATTCAAATTCTTTATTTCTACGACAATAACATTTCTTTATGCAGAGAAATGATTCATTTTGTTGTTAATTCAAAACCGATCAGTGACTTGATCAGTTATCAGCTGCTAATCATGATCAACACCAACAAGCAGCAGTTCTTCTCTAATTTACTTTTTCTGTTTGACGTCACCGTCTGTTTTTGTCATGTGTCATATCGACAAAAACTTAATTCAAATGTTTGTGATATTCGGTTCCATTATAAATAACTTGTTTACTTCATCAGACCTGTTTTCTAAAGATGGTTGTAAACAGTAGACAATGAGTTTTTCACAGAAAATATCTCAGATGAAACTTTTTTTTCAGAAGAAACGTTTAATCTTAAATTTTACATAAAATAAATTAATTTTCTCATATATTTGCTTGTATTTGTGTTTCACCTTTAAAATATCAAACCTAAAAAAGTTTCTTTGTCATGACGACGTTTACGAATCATTTTGAATATTTATCCTATCAGACATCGTGTCGGTCCTTAAAACTCGTGTTTCCACGTTTTCTATTTTCTATAAGTTTCCGCAGCCGATCTCCTCCTTGTAGCGGTTCGTTAACGTGTTGGCTTTGCGTGTGAGTTTGGACAAAACCGCGTGGAGTCCGTTCAGGTGAAAATGAAACTGCTTCTCCAGGTCGTCGTCCTCTGACTCGCCCACCCTCTCCTTCCCCCGCCCATCCCCCTGCAGGACGCCCCACTCCATGACACTGCGGATGGACTTGAGCAGGACGTACGAACTGTACATGTCGGCGTCCTGTTGGAAGCAGGCGGAGCCGTTGGAGGCGGTGTCGTCGGTGACCGTCTTCACGTCTCCGACATCGTCCAGCGGGACGTCCCGCAGCAGACTGGGCACCATCACAGTCTGGTCCATGTTGTTGACGGCACCGATGAAGCGGTTCATGGTGTTGAAGAGCGACTTCCTGTGGTTGCAGGACTCAGACGGGTGCATCATGGCGCCGGACAAACTTAGCACACTAATGCTCTTTGGAGGATTATTCTGGGTCACGTGTGAACCTGCCCCCGACCACAGGTCACACAGGTGAACTCACCTCTGCTGCCACGTGTCCCCACAGAGGACACGTCTCCTGCTGCAGGACTCGAACCCACGGTTTCAACTCAGAGCTGGAACACAGGAAACCAACTGAAACAAAACCATAGAAGAAGAAGCATGTTTTTTTTAGAGCACGTTCCTGTTAGCTGCTATATGCTAACTAGCATCTCCTACTGTTAGCACACAGGCTAACGGTCCATTCAGGTTAAGGACTTGCATCATTAGCACCGACACTGCTATCGTCAGGAGCTAGATGCTAATGATACATTAACATTAGCTCGAACAGGATTCCATCATCGGACACGTGTTTCGGTTGTGTTGTTTGTCGTTAACGGAACCGAATCTTTCGTTAAACTCGAGCTTCACGTGGTTTGATGCTTTCATTCACACAGAAACTACAGGGAGCTGCCGGAGGACTCATCCCGAGGGACACATCCCGGAGGACACATCCCGGAGGACACATCCCGAGGGACTCATCCCGGAGGACTCATCCCGAGGGACTCATCCCGGAGGAGATGAACCTCAGCTCCGTGTCACCGGGGCTCAGCTCACCTGCTCGCCGCTCCGCTGCGCCGCTCCTCCGCCCTGACGGTGCAAAGCCGCCGGTTCCACCGGTTCTCCTCCTCCTCCTCCGGTCCTCCTCCTCCTCCTCCTCCGGTTCTCCTCCTCCGGTTCTCCGGTAACGGTCACCGGCTGCGGTGCATCAGTATCAGTGAGTGAAGCTGCGGAGGGGCGGGGCTGTGCGGGGCGGGGCGGGGCGGCCACTGTCAGAGACGCCGAACCTCCGGAGGCAGCCAATCACAAGGGGCGAGGCCCTGCGACGTCACACAGACCGTCAGAGTGAAATACAACAGTAAATACTCTGATATACAAATATACACAGAATATATATCAAAGTATTTCTGCTCCTATAACTTGATTCATTTCACTTGATTCTACTTCAT